ACCCAGGTTTTGGTCACCCTACCCAGCACCACTGGTGTGAACAGTTCTTTTGGCCCCCACTGCAGTGCGTGGAGTCCAGCCCTAAACAGACCCGCACACATACTAGTATCTGAGTGTCCGTGTCAAATCCTCTGCACCATGGCGTATAATGAGAGGACTGTTCTCAGCCCAGATTTTTAGCAGATGGCACTAATGCCAACTTGGAATATCCCAGCCCCACCCTGCCTCTGCTTTCTGAGCTAGAAGATTTTTCAAGGGATAATTTGGATGTGGCTAGTTAAAAAACAAAACAAAACAAAAAACCTCCCTTTAAGAAAAACTAAGCAAGAGCCTTCTGAGGTTTTTAAACAAGGAAGCCACTCAACACTCTGCCAAACGGAGAATGGGGCATGTTTATTTGAGAGGGTTCATTTTCTTGCTAAAAGAAGAGGGGATGGAAAGTTCATCACCATTTTGTCCTTTGTAGAAAGATATGACAGATTGGTTTAGGGAGAAGTTATTTCTCTTGAGAGGGGCAACTAATACTGTTAATGCTGGGAACCATTTAAAATCACCCAGAAACTGGGGTGGGGGTGAAACAGATGGTGTAATATTTTTTTTAAAATATATTTTATTGATTTTTCACAGAGAGGAAGGGAGAGAGATAGAGAGAGTTAGAAACATCGATGAGAGAGAAACATCGATCAGCTGCCTCCTGCACATCCCCCACTGGGGATGTGCCCGCAACCCAGGTACATGCCCCTGACCGGAACCAAACCCGGGACCTCTCAGTCCACAGGCTGACGCTCTGTCCACTGAGCCAAACCGGTTTCGGCATGGTGTAATATTTTTTATTTGGGTAACGGGCTGCCTTTCTCACTTGAGTACTTAATTTTAAGAAAGTACTAAGCACATAATGGTGCTTTAAATTACCTCCTTCCCCTCTCCCCTCAGGAAAGCACACGTGACCTACCCAGTTTTTGTGAGAACATGCTTCTTTCTAAAGATGGGAATATAGAGAAAACAGTCATGCCTAAGTGCCGACACAGAATTACATCATCCCCTGTGCCCCCCACCCCCTCCAGAAAACTTGCCAAGGAACTTAAAGTACCACTTCAAGTGGCGCAGATTTCCACCGACACCAACAAATCTTCCCAGGTGGAGGATAGATACCTTGCCCTGGGCTCCATGGGGCTGCTGAAAACATTTAAAAACCAACTCAAGCCATCTTTGGGATACCCGGTCATCCAGTTTGTGGAATTCTGAGACACTCAGGCAAGCTCATCGCTGCAGGGGAAGCACTTCTCTCCCCAAGTCATGTGTGCTCTTGGCTTTTTATAAGCAGTGAACCATTCTAGGTCCACCAGGGTTCATGGAAAGGAAGAAGGCGGCAAAACCAAGTGCTAAAGCTGGGCAGAAGCATGCTCTCAATATTGGCACCAAATTTTCCAGAGGCCCCAGGCTTTGTGTATGTGTGTGTGTGTGTGTGTGTGTGAGAGAGAGAGAGAGAGAGAGAGAGAGAGAGAGAGAGAGATGTGAACTGGAACAGAAGAGATGGCAAGTCACGGTTAGCTGGTCCTCTGTGTCGATTGTTGGTTTGGCCTAACTAAAGCCATCACAAAGACACTTCATGTAACTTCTGGGTGTTTTAATGTTTTAACAGAAGGAAATTGGCAAAAAGTCTTCTTTTCTTAAATTCATTGAAACATCAAACAAAACATTTGAGGTTGGTAAGAACAGAGGTAACTTTTAAATGCTTTTAATTAGTTTCTTAACTCTAATTTCGGTGCTGGGTTGGGAGATTAGCTTGGGACATAAGGATCAGGGCATTACAGAGCTATCTGTGTTAAAAAGAGGCAAAAATACTCGAAGTTTTCAATATTCTTCAAGGATCTAAAGTTTAGATTCTAAACCCTAGGATTGATGGAAATGCAAAGGAAAAGCTAGAAGATGAAGAGAGGGCTTTTAAGATGTTGATTTCCTGTAAAACAACTTCAGAGTTTAATTATTCTTTAAAATGTTGTTATGGAAAAATTTAAACATGTAAAATAAACATCACAATACACCCCTCCCCCATTGTATTCTTCACTCAGCTTTAACAATTACCAACACATAGCCAATCTTATTTCATCTCAAGCTCCACTAATTTACTTCCCCCGCTCCCTGTATTGTTTTGAAGCAAACCTCTAAATTAAAATCCTTTAGGGATGAACTTTATTCTAGCAGGACTGGAGATCCAAAAGCTTAAGAATAAGAAGAAACTCGAAGAGACCACCTATTTTGGTGGTTCTGTTAGTCTCCCCACGCCCCTGCGCCAGATCCATTGGTCAGCATTCTCTGTAGTGCTGAGCTGGAATTGTGCGCACTAGGATTGCATCCCCAAGCTCACTTCTCTCATCTGCAAAGGATATTTCCCATTGGCATCCTGTTAATTTCAGGCAAAGGGAAACACCAGCAGGAGATCTGAGGGTGGGAGGAGAGATTGAGATATTTATTCCAGCCAGAGCCACAACTCTGCTTCCTCCTTCCAGGGTTCTGGAGTGCCTGTGTCCCCTCTAGCTCCAGTTTCTATAAGGCATCTCCTCTTCCATGGTTGCAGCTTTGGCTTCAGGCCTGCGGTGTTAAAGCTGCCCCACTATTGCTTTTCTGTGTGCTTCACCATCCCTTAACTTTGAATCACCTATAAGAATTCATGAGCCTTGCACCTAACTCAGAGCTGGGCATGAACCAAGTGCTCAGGACTCTCTTGAATGGATTTGATTCTACTTAAGGAAATACTTTAGAAAATACTTTGCTGCCCTTTCAAGAACAAGTAAGTCTACATCATCTTTCAATGTAGTTTCTTTCTTCTCATCTTCTCAAAACTCCTTCCAGTAAAATGCAGATAAGAAAAGAAGTTGGGTAGTTCATTGCCATGATACAATGCCCTTTCTTGGACATATTTGCAAGTAGTTGACATCAAGAAAGAGAGATGGGGAAAGACATGGAGTAGTCAGGGAGATGAGAAGAAAATTGTTCCTTAGGAAGACGTCCTGGTTCAAGGTCCAAACACATATTTTTCTTTCTTCAAAATCTAAAGCTTGGGATGCTTAAACAAGTTAAGCCAGCTATATGGTCCAGGAGGTGTATATCTGATCTTGTACCAATGGGCTTAGATTTTGTTAAATGGCCATTTATGATAGTAGAATTTTTTTCTCACTCTGGTGAGCCCAAGGGAATGATGACTTCTGGATGATGTAGCTGCTTTATTAAACAAATGCTAACAAGTTCTCTTAGTTCAAAGATGTCCAAACATGCAATGGAATCTATTGATATGGTGAGGAATTAGAGGAGAAACAGGATCCATTTTCAGAAAACTGTCTATCTAATAGTATGCCCTGAAACTGCTTTAAAGCAAATTCAATATTTAGAGGCATAGATATCTCAGAGACACTTGGAATATGTTATCACAGTTAACATTGAGAATTCTTAAGGTTTCTTTTGCATCTCACTCTCTCCCTCTCTCGCTTCCTCTATCCAGCCCTCCCTCCTTCCCTCCCTTCCTCTGTCCCTCCCTCTTTCCCTCTCTTCTTCTCTTTTTGAGGGAGCCATTGGGAAAGCCAAGCCCATGCTATTGATTACACACTTTTTAGTGTTCAATAAAACCCACATTTATTGAATTATTACTATATGTTGATCACTGTGGGGGAACAAAGAGACAAATACACCACAATTCCTGCTCAGGATATTGCAGTCCTGAGGAAGAATTAGATGAAATCACTGTTGTGTAAGGCAGAGGGAATGTCCGTCTTAGAGATTCACCTGCCACTGAAGCAGCCTCATCATCCTGGTCTTGGGAGAAACTCTGCTTCCTATGCATTAAGCAGAGCAGTGATGAGGCCATTCAAACACCCAGTCAATCAACAACTGCTAAGTGCTAGAATCAGAGGAGCGTTGACTAAAATACAATAAGATCCCAACTATTTTCATTAATAGAAATTTTCAGTGTATTAGCAGAGATGCCCATCCCATTTAGATACTTGCTACTTCCTCATCCATTCAGCTATCGGACGTTTATTTTTTATTTATTTTTATTTTTTAAAGCAGGCAGTCCCACTCAACATTATTACTTTTATTTATTTTAATATCTTTTTTTTTATTTCAGAGAGTAAGGGAGAGGGAGAGAGATAGAAACATCAATGATGAGAGGGAATCATTGATTGGCTGCCTCCTGCATGCCCCCAATGGGAATCAAGCCCGCAACCCAGGCATGTGCCCTTGACCGGAATCGAACCCGGGACCCCCCAGTCCACAGGCTGGCGCTCTATCCACTGAGCCAAACCAGCTAGGGCTATCGGACATTTATTGAGTGCCTACCATTTTCTGAGCATTGTGATAGATAATAGAGATACAAAGATGAGTATTCCAAGGGGTGTGCAGTCTAACAAAGGGATCGCTTTGTAAATGAATGTCTTAAAATGTCACAGTTGCTCTTATGGAAGTTTAGGTAGAACATAAAAAGGAAGAAGTTAATTCTACTGGGAAGAGGTAAAAAATGCCTTCATAGCCCAGCTAGCGTGGCTCAGTGGTTGAGAGTCGACTATAAATCAGGAAGTCATAGTTTGATTCCTGGTCAGGATATATGCTCGGGTTGCGGGCTCGATCCCCAGTGTGGGGCATGCAGGAGGCAGCCGACCAATGATTCTCATCATTAATGTTTCTATCTGTCTCCCCCTCTCCCTTCCTCTCTGAAACAAATAAAAAAAAATATTTTAAAAAATGCCTTCATAGAACAGTTTAACCTTGAAGTGATTCTAGAAATTTGATTAAATATTTGCTCAGCAATGGGGATGATGGTTGAGGGGTGGGTGTGCAGAAAGGGATGAGATTCCAGGCCTCAGTCACCACCATCTTCATTGATGAGAAAACCGCTCTAGTGTCCAGAGGACTGATTTTTGTAGTGGTTACTGGGCATCATGGGGAGAAGAGGCTACAGAGGTGGCCTGTGGTCAGACCATGGAGGGTTAATGTGTCATGGGAAGGAGTTTGATTCTTTCTCCTGCAGGCCCCACATGTGCCTCTAAGGTGGTAAGAACCTTCTCCATCCATCTTGCAACCCATGAGCTCTCAATCAACCATAGGAGATACTGAGAGGCTACTCACCTTGTGACGGGACAGTCAAGGCAGTTTTCCTGGGTCGGCCCCCAGCACTTGGCACACGAGGCTTCACAGATCTGGCAGTGGCCATGTTCATCAATGTATTCTCCTGGGGAACAAAATGCAGTTGTTTACCTCATTTCTCCATGGCAGTTGTTTCCTGGGCTGTCAGTCTGAGAGCAGCCAGATCTGTCTGTGGCTGCCTGAAAGCCATGGAGACAACCCAGAGAGAAGAGACCTTGAATGGCTTCAGTTGCCAGTCCTAAATCCTGACCTTATAATAACAACTGCTCCTCTCCCAGAGGCCCTGAAAGTTGGAACCTGAAAAAGTTATGAGGCAATGACATAATTTTGAATCTAGTCAAAATGTGTTACAAATTTTATAAGTAGAGAGAAGTCAAGGGGGCTTCCGACAGGATCCCTTCACTGAGCTCCTACTGACTTCCTTGTTTAAGGCTGAAGGCTTATGGGCCACAGAGACCCCAGTATAGCCTTGGTTCAAGTCAAGAAGCAAACTGGACCCACCTAGGTCCTGTCTCATCACTCTGGGGAGGATTGTGATTACTTGTCAAGAAAGGGAGTTGAAGCTTGGCTGACATTGGACAGATGTCAGCTGCATCTCACCCTGAAAGAGTAACAGTGAAGACATAGCCAGAGAATTCTTCATTTAATTGGAAAGCTTATTCTTTCCAAGGAAAAACACAACATGGCCTTTCCACAGAAGCAAGTCCAGCCTCACCAACTTGTAAACATTTAAGAAATTATTCCCACAGCAAGGGTGGTAGAGAGAGGGGAACCCTCATTGAAGGTGATAATCTACTGATAGGTCTGTGGCTCATTGAATTCAACCCTCTACTCACACTATAGTCATCCTCTGCTCCCATTGTCTTATACAAGAAATTGACTGAAAAGAAACTGAAATTCTTTTAGTCTGATCCAGAGACCCACTTTGTATGGTTTAGAAAGTGATCATGCTCAGAAACTTCAGATTCAGATTTCAGCAGAGTCACAACTTTCACTTGCCTCCCACACCAACTTTCATAGCCTGTAAGCATGTCTGAACATTGTCAGTCTGAGATCAGCCAGAGCAGTGAGGTAGCAGGACTCACCAATTTTATTAATTAAAATTTTTGTTTATTAAATTGATTGGGGTGACATTGGTCAATATAAACATATAGATTTCATGTGTGAGTTTCTATGTTACAAGATCTGTATATTGCACCATGTGCCCACCACTCAAAGTCAAATCTTTCCCTGCTACCTTATATTAGGGCCCCCTTCTTCCTCTACCCCCTTCCCTATGGCAACCACCACACTGCTGTTTGTGTTCATAAGTTTCAGTTTTATATCCCACATATGAGTGAAATAATATGGTTCTTAGCTTTTTCTGTCTAACTTATTTTACTTAGCATAATGTTCTCAAGGTCCATCCATGTTGTTGCAATTGGCGCTATTTCATCATTTCTTATGGCTGAGGTGTATTCTATTGTGTATATGTACTACATACCTATGGTTTAATCAAGTGGTGTTACTGGAACTCCAAGATTCACTCCCTGATTTATTTTAACTGTATGGGGGGGGGGGAAGCCCTGGAAACATAGATGACTGGTTAAGAATGGAGAGAAGTCTACTTCTCTGCCTTTCCCCGTAATTTTACTGAATTAGTATAGTTGGGTAAGGTAAACTTATATCCATAAGTCGTCCACTTGCTGGCGCTAAACTACAAAAATGAGTAAGCTTTAGAGTGAGTCACCAGTGGGGGCAAAACATGCAAATAGGCAAGTTGTTCACTGTACAAGGTACCTGCCTAAATGGTCACATGGAGTTGGAAATCCATCCCATGTTGATTGCACCAAGCCATGAAAATGTGTTGGCTGCCTCTTTCTCTATAGGGGGTGCCTTTCACTAATTCACACAAAGATGTCAGAACAGACCAGTTGGTAATCAGCAGTCCCAAAGCAGAAAAAGAGCCGGGACTTCTGTCTAATAGGAGTGTTGATATCAATATAGGTATCATATTCTACCTATTCTACCTCTTAATTATTGCCCTTGTGCAACCTCTTCTACTTTTGTCAGAAAGCACAACAAATTGAACAGTGTTATTATCAATCCAGGCACCAGCAAGATAAAGAGCAGAGGATCTGGGGCAGACTTCGTAGGAGCAAGTAGATCTTGCCTACATTGCCAATGCTAATAATTTGTGTTGGATGATAGCTATGTATCTTTGAAAATATATGTACTGAGTGGAACAGGTATGGGGAAGGGTCACAGAGGCTTCTAAACCCAAAGAAAATGTTTTCTAGAGAAATATAGATCATAGCTTGTTCATTCATTTATTCATTCCATGTATATTTTTTGAACACTTACGTACCAGGCCCTAGGTAAAATTTAGAGATATACAAATTAAAAAGACCCTGCTCTTGGGTTCTCAAAGATATTTTATAAGAATGATTTGTTCCCCTGCTGGTTTGGCTCAGTGGATAGAGCATCAGCCTGCAGACTAAAGGGTCCTGGATTCGATTTTAGTCAAGGACACATGCCCGGGTTATGAGCTCAATGTCCAGTAGGGGGCATGCAGGAGGCAGCCAATCAGTGATTTTCTCTCAATCAATGTTTCTCTCTCCCTCTCCCTTCCTCTCTCTGAAATCAACAAAAATATATTTTTAAAAAAGAATGATTTTAAAGGAGATAATTATAATCCAGATGCTGGCTAGGATACTTTGCCTTCCTTGGACAGTCTAGATTAAAGTCTAAAACAGAAGAGCAAGGGCATACACTGGACTCTCCTAGACCTAGAGGCAAAGACTGTTATTTTGCCTTGACATTGGTGCCTATAAAAACGGACACAGTGGTTTGGTTGTCCTAAATCTCGCCACCCATCCACCTTAATCTTCATGGTGTATTAGATCCAATGCTAGGGTGGGATTTTAAAGTAAATACACCTTACTCTGCTAAATCAAGTGCTGCTTAGATGGTTCTGAGAGTTATGTCATATTTACACCCAAAGCCGCCTCTGTAGTTAGATGAGTCATGGCTAGGTCAAGCAAGGGTTATTCGGATATTGTGGAAATTTTCAATTCTCCTATGTCTTTTGTTTGTCTCTTCCTTGACTTCCATAAGCCAGAATGTGGCACTGATACCCTGGCCTCATGTTTCCTTGATCTACTCAACTATCATGGCCTCTGTTGGCACTCACATAGATATAATCACCTGAGATATAATCATCACTTGGAATTGCCCCAACTCTGAGATTTCAAATATCCCCTCCAAACACAACCTTCTTATGCCCCACTATGCTAAGCTCACCCTTCTTGATCATCCTTTCACTCATCTTTGTATTTTCCTCTTGCATTTCTCACTGTAGTTAGTTCAAACCTTTTTTTCCCATCCATTCAAGATTTTATTTTATTTATTTAATTTTTAAATTCTTTATTAGTTAAGGTATTACAAATGTGTCCTCATCCCCCCCATTAACCCCCATCCTCCGGTTCCACCCATTCTTTCTCAGAAGGTGACCTCACTATCTAATTTGTTGATAAGATACTGAATTTCCCCAGCATCCTTTGTCTCGGTGTCAAAGTTCCTTTCTATCTTCTCCTTGACTGTTCATTTGTCTCCTGTTTCTGAGGAAGATGTCTCTCCTCCTGGCCACTGGCAACCCTCAATCTAGTGCTCATAATCTTTCCTCGGGATATTTCTCCACCAGGATCTCTGTCTTCAATCTTTTCTCCACATTTGCCATTATCCTCTGACCTACAAAAGTTCTCCTCAACCTAAAACCTTCCCAAGCATTTTTCTTCTTGGGTGAGTGATCCTTAAAAGATGTTTTTCCCTCCTACCATTTGGAAACAAAATGGAGACAACCTCATAACCTTGAAGCTTATGTAAGCAAGTCAGCGTAGGACAGCTTGAACCACACCTCTCTCAAGTCTGCATGCCTCTTAACTTTAAAGCAAACTCTGGCTTTATAACAGATGAGAATAAAAGGACCTGTCTTAATTTTCATATTTATGTGGATGTCCAATTAGTTATATAAACAACTGCCCCCAGCCCTTGCAGGCACAAGTGTCCTACTGCATATTTGAAACAAACAAAAAAGCCAGATTCCAAGGACATAGTGAAGATGCTTTTTTTTGGTTGTTGGAGCAGCAAATTCTTTTCATCTGTCTTTGTTGCACAATGAAGCTCAATGTTTATGACAGGAGTGATACACAAAATTTTTTTAAAGTAGCAGCACAGATGTTGGGGTCCAATATTTTGTTCTCCATCTCATCCTACAAGTTCTCCCTTCTAGTGTCTTCATCCATTATTATTATGTCCAAGTTATCTTTCTCCTGTGATCAAAAGTGTTTCATTCCTGTCTCATCTCATCCTATAATAGTTCAAAAAACATTGAGGTAGTGTCTCATGAGCAATGCTATCTCAAAAGTTGAAGACACAACTTAAAAAATTAATAATTGTAAATTAAAAAATTTACAAGTTAGTGGTATGCTCTGCTTGATCCACCTCCTGAGAACATTACAGCATGTGTTTGTGTTAATGAGTCTAAGTTACAAATAAACTTTATGAAATCACCCAGATTAGTCAAGCAGTTATTATATCATGCACAGCTACTAAACAAAGTTGAGAATAACATAATAAAGGGCTCACCTACCCAGAAGGGCTTCATTTCTCTTCAGAAATGCTATGCTTTCTTTTGTATCTCAATATTTATTTGAGTCAAATTTGTTGTAGAGTTTAAGCAAATAAATATATAAACTAAATAAATTAATAAACACTTAGGTTAGTATTCAAACCATGACTGCCTGGTTCATAGGTTGACGCTCAACCACCAAGCCATACTGGCTGACAAACATGAAGCTTTATAGCAAGACTCAAAAAGGAGGCCATCCATTGATGGCCAACATCTTTATTTAAAAGCCTATACCAGTGATTTTTTTTTCCCAGCAAAATAAATTTATTTGGGAACAACAAAGAATTACAATCCAGAATGGCAAAGAGGAGCCTCTCACAGAGGTGAAGAGGAAGATGGGAAAGCTATCACAGAGTTCTCCCAGTTATACTTCCTGATTGACTTAATGAGAGTTCCCCTTTCTGGCCTCCCTCCTTCATTTTATTTATTTTTTATTTTTTTAGCCTACTTGATTTTTTTATTTTTTTATTTTGTTTTATTGCCTAAAGTATTACAAAGAGTATTACATATGTTTCTTTTTTTTTTTCCCCCTTGACCTTCCCCCGGCCTCCCCTACCCCCAGTGTCTTGTGTCCATTGGTTATTCTTATATGCATGCATACAAGTCCTTCGGTTGATCTCTTACCACCCCACCCCCTAACCCTCCCCGGCCTTCCCGCTGTAGTTTGACAGTCTGATGCTGCTCTGCCTCTGTATCTATTTTTCTTCATCAGTTTATAAGGGTCTTTATTATCCATAAATGAGTGAGATCATGTGACAACAAAAAAAGGTATAATTTTGATTATTCACACCTGACAGCTATTGTCTTTTTTTTTTTTTTTTTATAATCTAAGGGAAAAGAGGTCTTTTGCCCCTGACTAAATAGTTAGGTATTGCGCATTTTAAAAATTCTTGGGGCACACCAGTTGAAAATCACTGGTCTGCACAATTATGCAGCCTTAAAAATGAAGGACATCCTGACACATGCTATACCGTGTACAAACCTGGAAGACATTTTGCTAAGTGAAATAAATCAGTCACATAAGGACAAATATTTCCTGATTCCATTCATTTGAGGCACTTATGAGTAGTCAAATTCAGTGGGACGGAAAGCAGAATGGTGGTTGCCAGGGACTGGAGGGGAGGGGGAAATGGGGAGATACTGCTTAACAAGTACAAAGTTTCAGCTGGAGAAGATGAAAACGTTCTGGAAATGGATGATGACAATAGTTGCACTGCAATGTGAATGTAATTAATGCCATGGAACTGTAGGGTTAAAAATGGTAAATTTTATGTTATGAATATTTTACTACAATTAAAATAAGTCTACATGATGAGTTTCTTCCTTTACAGGCCAAACTTAATTTTAACCAAAACAACTCAAGATTGTCTGCCCTTTGGGGATGGGTCCGAAGAGCACCAACATCTTGGGGAGCCAATTTGTTTAACTGAGGATCAGGAGACCGCCTGTGAGAATAGAACTAAATGGGTAAGTGTATAAAGCTTGTGATAATGGAGAGGTCTGGCAGATGGAACACTGTGCTGTTTCTTTTCATCAGCATCTATAAAGGAAGAATGAACATTAAGCAGCTAGAGTGGGGGTGTCTGGGGCGACGGCTTTTCTATCTCAGCCTCTCAACAACCACTGCCCCTTTTCCTCCCCCACAGGGTTTTCTGATTGCCAGGACATCTTTCTTAATCTCAATGCTTTTTCATTCTTAGGTGCTGGGGCTCACCCGTGGGCAGATGCCCCAAAACTCTACGCTGGCGCCCCCATAGGTTGGCACTCCATCAAAAAAGGATGTATTGAATAGTTGTGGGTCCAACACACTTGTAAATGTTTAGCTTACTTCAGTCTGCACTTTGTCAAAGATCAAGGAATTAAGAGCTGATCCTTTGCATTTCCACTGTTATTTTGGGCCTTGACCTCAATCACGCTGCTCAAAAAATATATCTGAAATGAAGTCTTGGCCAATACACCTGGCCTAGCCTGCGAGGGTCAGAGATTGAGCATCGCGACCTATGAACCAGGAGGTCACAGTTCAATTCCTCATCACATGCCCAGGTTTTGGGCTCGATCCCCAGTAGGGGGCATGCAGGAGGCAGCCAATCAATGATTCTCTCTCATCATTGATATTTCTATTTCTTGCTCCCTCTCTCTTTCTCTATAAAAATCAATAAAAGCATATTGTTTAAAAATACACCTGAATACAGCAGTGATGTAGCAATCACACAGGCTCCCATTCACTGACACCTACCATGTTACAAATGCTGTTCCATGTAATGTTTAACGTAAACAACAGCCCCTTTTACAAATGAGAAACTGAGGCTCAGAGACGTGAATCTTACATGAATTCATTCAACTAGGCAAGTGACAGAGTTAGGCTGTGACCTGGTACGGATTCACTTCCGCCTTGGTGCTCCAAGCAGCTTTGCTAGTTATAAAAAGACAGCACTGAGCACATGTCTTGTCTAAGCCACTTGGTGAGGTAAGGGTATCAAAAGGAATTCATTGTGAAAACAGATGAACTTTGAGCAGGCTTATTGCGCAAAGCAGATTTACTCAATGATTGAATATGCCCTCCAAATATGTGTTTTGTCTGGTAAAATGGCTTGCCTGGCAAAATTGCCATTGATTAAAAGACAGTTATGTTTATCAAAGTGAGGTTTTACCAGCTGCTTGTTCTGTCTACTAGGTTAGAAACTCCTAAGAGGAACCCCAAAATGGTGTGTTTTATTTTTTGAATGAATATAATAATTAATTGGAGCTCTGCACAAGGATTTTCTGCTTAAGTGCTGTCTGCAAACAAAATAAATTAGCTCTTCAGAAATAACTTACTACCAGAATTATAGTTGCCTCTTTCTGGTCCCCCAATTTATATGAAAATCTAGTAGAGATGGATTGGTTCCCATATATCTGGTCCTCAAGAGAATTTTACATTGCCTCTATGTTAGTGATGAGTCATTCTAAGTCTTAGCTTAAGGATGCTGAAATTAATAAGGTGCTGAACAGTGGGCTCCAAGATCAGACACCAGAGGGGACACAAGGCCGAGTGTGATTATCTGCAATTAAACGAAGTTAATTCACAAAGACAATTATTGAATCTGTGAATGAGGAAATGATGAACACCTTCCTATAAGTAGGGTATGGTAGGTAGAAATGCATTTAATGCCTTTCTGAGGTGTGTAAAAGATCTTGCCAGTCTCTATTTAGTGGGCTGTGTTTGCTATTTCTGTAGGTGAGCCTCGCATTTCTACAGGTTCTCTAGTGCACTCAATCGCTCTACTTCTCAGGAGTAGGATTGCACCCCCCAGTGTTCCCACTGTTTGTGGCTGCAGAGGGACCACTCTCACGGGGGAAATTGTACAGGTGCATTCACAGTAATGGTGGATGTGGGGCTCAATTCATAGTGACAGGAGGAAGTGAGCATAATATGATGAATAACTTGTTTACCGTTTGGAAAACATCACTGATAACCTGAGGCAGGTTACACTTGGGAGACACTTACTGGGAGAGAGAACAACTTGAAAGGACAGGTTGTTGACTTGAGTTTCCGTGTAAATCCATGAGTGAGCACAGCTCTATCAAGCACTAAAGGCTGTATCATTTCCTTTCACTATGGAGGCCATGACAATGCAGGTGAAACTGTTGGGATTATGGCCCATTGAGCCACGATCCTGGCACTTTTGAACTAAGCAAGGGTCCTTGAATGTGGATGTGTTCCAGCCCAAAGTTCTCCCCAAGGAGCTTAAAATGATCAAAATGTTCCCTGTGATGGTGTAAGTCCTGAAACACAGGCATGAGGATGAAACTTATTATCCACTTTCATTTCTCTGCTGACCTAAAGAGCCTCCCTAATTGCTTTTGTAATTTGCTCTTAAACGCTTCAAAGTACCGATGCTTTACTGCCCCCACACCACACCCCCGTCCCCTCCAGTGTCCCATGGGAGAGAACATCCTCCAACTACCTCCTCCTCTTCCTCTGGATCCACTCACTGAAAGTGCTGACTTTACCTTTCCTCTCCCGCACTCCCTTTGTCTTCCCTGGAGCCTTGCCTGCTGGTGCTAAAACATCCAGGCCTAATCACTAATTAGGAGAAAACAGATGCTCCTGGGAAGAGAAAGAAGTTGCATTTCAAGGCCTATGGCTCCATCTCACTGTAGCTGGTAATTGACAATTTAGCCTTCTATTGGGTCATCATTAACCACGAGCAGTGGAGACTGCCTCTAAGACAGGTCTGCCTGGAGCAGGGCACCCAGAATACCTCACTCCCTAGTGACTGAGGAAGCGTTTGATTTGTCAGGATGCCATACGTTGTATTGGAAGTGAGGAAGGGACTGAAGCTTGCCTGCCGAATGCCAGCAAAGTAGGCATCCCCATGCTGGGTAAATGCACACGTTTTGGAGTCATTCCCGCCTGGGTTTGATTTTGGCTTCCTTCTCCAGCTGTTTGGCATTAATCAAATCACATATTTCCCTGATGTGCCTCTTCTGTGTATTGTGGATAATACTCTCATTCTCAGAGAATGTGGCTGGGATCAAATGAGGAAACAGACCTAAGCGCAGCGGATGGCAGAATGGTAGTTGTAATTATCAGGTGCTTTGAATATGTCATCTCACTAATCCTCCAATAATAAAGTGGGATAGGGCCTTCAGCTCCATTTGGCCAAATAAGGCATTTAAGCATCAAAATGTTAATTTCTTGAACATCCTTTGAACCCTGGTCTGTCTAGATTCCAAATTGTGCTTTTTCTACCCTCGAGGGGACTTGAAGAATATATCAGCTGCATATGTTGGTGGCAACAAGGCACCTGAAATTAATGACCGTGGAGGCTGAGAACACAGTTCAGCTGCAAAATGCAGCCCATGCAAGTCAGTCTTTATAATTGGCAGCCCCTGGGAGCCAGCCTCCCTGCACAGAGCAAAGGCAGCTTTTCTGCACGTCGCTATGGAGAATTTCAGAGCCATGGCGGTGCCCTTCTCAGGCTGTTGAGGGAAAAGTGTCCGCAATCGGTGAATCCCTGTAAGAGGGGACGCACAAGGCTTCTTCCCTGCAGAGTTTCATGGAGAAGGTTTAGAACGTGCGGTTTTGGCCTCACTGTGGAGTGGGCACTACGCTTGGACTAGCTGCTTCTCCTTCAGGTGAGTGACTGGGAGGGACTTTGCCTCCTTACCTGGTGGGTATTGGGGCAAATTGCACAGTTTCCTCTCTCTCAGTGAGGGTACAGCATATACACAGACGAAAATAAAAATGGGGGCAGTGTCATAGGTTGCACTGTGTGTGTGTTCTGCATTGGGGAGGGTGGTAGTATTGTGAGGCAAGAGGCCTTGGAGTCCCTGTATGTCAGAGAAAGAGCTGGTTTCCCTGCCTCCCAGCCTCTTTCCACACAGTTTGCATCCTATCAGAGCTTTAGACTCTGTCCAGAGCATGGAAGGGGACTAGAACCTCACCTGGCACCACCCTAGAGAGAACACCACTCCCACCACCACCCCAACCCCTAAAGACTCCTGTCATTCGCACCATACTTGGATGACCTTGAGCTGTCCTCTCCCCACCGAGAGGAGAGAGGCAAGATACAGGTGAAGTGCACATATCTGGAACTAGATATCCTAGGTGTGGATCCTGGGGCTGTCTTGTGGTAGCTGTGAGAACTTGCACAATTATAAAGCCTCTCAGAGCCTCAGTCAACTCATCTGTAAAATGGAAATTATCAAAGCTATGTCAGAAAATTGTCAGAAGGATTAAATTAGTTAACACGTGGAATGTGCTTTGTAAGATGCTAGCAAACAGTAAGTGCTTAATAGAGGTTAGCTGTTGCTACTTTAGTGAGTACAAGCAGGCGCTCAGATAAGCAGCATGAGCTAGTGAAAAGACCTATAGGACACGCAAGCCTCAGTTGACCTCTGATGGTTTGCGTGGCTTTGCAAATTTATTTTACCCCCAAAGTTGTAGGTTCCCTGTTATTTTCCTGCCTATCATCAGGTAATGCCCTTTCTTACATTGAGGTTGATTTCACATGATGGTAAATACAAATAAAATATCTGGAAAAGATTTCCTTTTTCCACAGTTGTTCAGGGACCACTGAGAAGAATGGACGCCAATTTTATCAACCATTTTATTAACAACAGGCGAGGTCCTGTGTGATTGGCACCTAAGTGTAGTCAGTTCTAGTCAGGACAGTGGCAACCCTCTGCCCTTTCACCCAGCACGATGAATTATTAACTTGCTAAAAAATTACGGCACCCCAGAGCAATATGTGGCAGGAAGGCAGGTCAACTATTCCCTTATTGACTAATATTATTCCTCCTGTGGCCTTATGGAGACATCTCTTAGGAATAATATAAAATTGTTTGTGACTTAAACTGGTCTTTACTCAGCTTTTATGAATTAATTTGTCTGGCCTTGATATAAACCCGAGGAATGTCTCATGAGAGGATTCTGGCTCCATCAAAACATTCCAGAATGGTATGACTCTGTGTGCTCTTGTCTTACTTGTACCTTAATGCCTTGCTTTCTCCTTTAGATGCCCTTTGAGCATCCCTTCACCCCTTCTGTGCCAGTGGTTCCCCAGTGAACTTGCAGTCTTTGCATGCTGCCCCCTAATGGAGCTGAGAACTTCCCAGCCTAGTCCTACAGAGAAGTCATATGGAGCCCTGCAGGACCTGCAGGACACCTCTGCATTCACTCAAGGCAAGGCTCTAGAAAGTCTGCAGGAGCCTCAAGAACAATTCCATTCTTCTGGGAGGAAGCACAACCTTGGCTGGAAGGTAGGCAAGTCAGTATTTAGTTTGAAGTCTCCTCCCTTGGGCCTGACTTCCATTTTCCACAGCCAAGCCCAGCCCAGAAGACCCTGGGTGTCTCCCAAGGGGTCCTCCGTGCCTTCCTGTGCTAGTTAAACTGTTGTCCTGGGTCGGGGAGGGCTGCTCAGCATAATTTCTAGAGAGCAGGCAACCAAGGCAACCAGTCTTAACCCCATTTTAGGCGCCCTGGGCTCTCAGAGCCCAGCCCATGGCTTAGGTCTGCACCCACCAGGCTGTGAGGTGGGGCCTAGCATCCAGGACTGGGAAGCCTGCGCTTCCTGGAAACTCGGTTGCATGATCCCCACAGGCAGAGCTGGTGAGTCAGGCTCTCCTCCCTCCTAAGCTCCCTCCAGCAGCTGTCTGACCTGCTTTGACTCCTTTTTGCTTTCAAGGCTGCTCTTGATATTCATCTTACCCACATTTTACATGCTGTGATGTGCTGGGGGCCCCAACCCTCCTGGAGAAGGCCAGTTCCTCTTTCTGCGGTTCTTAGTTGGCTAACACAGACCGGCTGGCTGTGGAGAAGCCGCCTGCGGGCTCGGTGAACTTGACCCGTCTTTTGCTTATGCAATCATCTGGTGTAATTTAGGTGGTAATTTTCTAAAGCTGAATTTGTAAGAGGCAAATATTTTCTATGGGATAAAAACAAGCGCTTACTACAGTAGCAGGAATGATTGACATGTGAAACTGCTATGAGGAGCAGAGGCAGGAGAAAGATGTCGTATCATGTGGTGTTAGAAGTCCAGGCCTTGGGTCAAAGATGAGGAACCTCTCCTGGGAGAGCTGGGTGCTTTCTCAATGCTTTCACATTTAATTCTCAGAGCCAGTTATGGAGATGAGCACTGCTCTCATCTTAAAGATGAGGACACAGACACTCAAGAAATTTAAGTCACCTAAGGTCACCATATTAGTGATGATAAGAATAGCTAACACTTATTCCATGATGACCATTTGCTAGGACTTGTTCTGATGCTGTGTTTGTATTAGTTCACTTAATCTTTACAATAATAACCCCACAGGGAAAAGGATGGTGCTGGGTACAGCTGTTCTGTATCATCTTCATTTTTCTGTTGCCAAAGTTGAGGCAGTGAGACATTAAGTGACCTATTAAAGTCACCCAGCTTGTGGCAGAGCTGGGGCTTACCCCAGCGGTCAGACTCCAAACTGTAGTTCTTGAACCCAGCTTCTGTGGCACTCCTTTTCCCAGAAAGAGGGGATAATCCCAGGCCTCGAAAACTCTAAATGCCATGTGCCCCTTCCACTACGCTGGAAATTCAAATAATTGGTGGGTTGCATGTGCATATGTGTATGTGTGTGAGAATATGGAGTAAGGGGAGGTTATGCAATCCTAGACACCTGAATCATGCAAGTTGTAGCTATTGCTTGCCGGCCATTTCGAGGGGCTGTGTTGGAGATGGCTACCTTTTATGAGACAGAATCAGCTCTCACAAGATACAAAGAACATAAGCCAATGTAGAACCAGTGTTTAAAATGTAATGATTGCACAGGACAGCTGATTGTATCTTTCCCTGAGGGCAGGGCTATCTTTTGTGTCCCCATTGCCTCAATGCATGACTAGAAGATTATTTCTATACTTTTGTGTGTTGGGTAAGAAATTCATTAAAATTGTGTGTTTTGTCGTTGTTGTTGTACTGTAATAAGATTGACTTAGGCCTAGAAAAAAAAAACTGGGATTATGGCTAGGTGGACAAGGGGGAAAGTGGAGAATATTTCAGGAGAAGGGAACAAAGAAAGCAAAGGAAATAGGTATGATGTCTGTGTGACTCAAGTTAATGATTGGGTTGACTGAAGCAGAAACTGAGTGTGGAGGAAATGAAAAAGGAGTTTGTATAGAGGATGTAGAGAAACCAAGAAATATCCGACAGTTATCAAATAGGTGTGGTTGGCCAAAGGGGGCCATGAAGATTTAGGAAGAGAATTACAAATGGGAAAATCTGTGTTGGAAGATAACCTTGATCAAGGGAGGCTGGATGGGTTAGAAGGGACAGTCCAGGAAGTCAGCTAGGAGATGACATGAGTGAGCCAGGAGGGAGGGAATAGAGCTACTGCAACCAAAATGATGAAGACAGTGTGGTTGCCAGGAAACAGAGTCATAGGATCTGAGGAGTAGATGGGTCTCAGAGCTCATTTACTCCATCTGCCACCTCCTCCCCTCTCCTGGGGCTTGGGCATAGTTATGGCTTTCTAGTCCAGGGACTGCCCAGTGTTTGAATGAAAACCAAAAGGGACGGAGAACACATTCCCTCCTGTTATGCTTTTGAAAAACTCTGATTATGAAAAATGTCTTTGTAGAAAGCCAAAACTGACCTTCTAGTAAATTTCATACATTGGTCATTCAAAAAAAGAAACATCTTCTCTGAGGAAAGAGCATATTTATGGGAATAATGAAAAGAGACCGAAGGTCTGAGTCCAAGGCTCAGACACAAGTGGCCGTGAGCAAGTCAGGTTAACTCTGAGTCTTAGTCACTTCTGTGAAAATGGGGATAAGATGTGTTCTGCCGAGTTCTCTGCTCTGTTTGGAGGATCACATGATATGCCTTGTGAGAATGCTTTGTGAACTTCAGAGTGCCTCATAAATAAAAGATATGATTATTAATGCGCCACAAGAGGGAATATAGTGCAGTTTAGTGACAGAGAAACTGCACCCAAACTCCAGCTCTGCCATTTTCTAGCTTTGTGATTTGGGCTCCTTCTTCTCTACTCCACATGTCTACAGCTGCAAGATGGGATAAAAATAGTCCTACCTTGGAAAGTTGTAACTAAATTTGATAAGGTACTTACAAGCACTTAACACAGGGTCTGCCTGACATACACTAAATAGGAATGACTAGTAGTACTACTATTGATAAACTAGAGGCCCGGTGCACAGGTAGGGTCCCTAGGCCCTGCCGGCAATCAGGGCCCATCTGTGGGTGATTTGGGCTCCTGCTTGCACTTTCCTTGGCTGGCCTGGCACCACCTGCTCACTGGCCCTGCCCCCCTTGCCGGTTGCCTCCCTCTGCAGGGCAGCCGGCAGGGTGATCGAGACCCCCCCTGGCCGCCCCCCCCCACTCGCACCTACCTTGGCTGGTGGCCTGGCGCCGCCCACTCGCTGGCCCTTCGCTCTGCCACCGGTTGAGCATCTGCTCCCTGGTGGTCAGTGCACATCATAGCGAGCAGTTGAGTGGCCTTAGCATATCATTAGCATATTACACTTTGGTTGGTTGAAAGGCTGACTGGATGACTGGACACTTAGCATATTAGGCTTTTATTATATAGGATAATGACTGCCTGCATACAAGGGATGAGTGGAGAAAGAGGTGTCAGTTCCATGGACTTGAACTTGAGTAAGTAAAGAAATGATGGCTTGAGAATGTGAGGGAAGCGGGTTGGGATGATCTGGCAGATGTTTTGAAACCATGTGACTCCTGGCATAGCTCTGTATGTTTATATACATGCCACAGGCAGAATTTTGACAGTGGCTGTTTTTGGGGGGCCTGCTGAACATCAAGCAGCTGTGTTCTCTCTCTGACACACATGTAACAAGAGTGGATGCAGTGCAGTAGTGTAGGCATTCACAGCCCATTCCGCCTAGAGCTGTGCCATAAACAATCGGGAGCTCAGTGCATTGTTACCAGATCGAGTGTCATGTTTAGATGCCAAGATGGTGAAAGAAATGTCATCACCTACGCATTCCTGTGGAGGGGCCATCCCATTCTTGGCCAGGATGACTATTTGGCAGAAAAGTCATACATCTGTATACACTTAGAGTAAAACCCATGCAGAACGAAGGTAAATTGTTACCAAGGGCTCTTATCACAGTGGTTTCGGCAGCTTACATGCATTTTGCGACCATTCTAAGGATGCTCTTCAGTTAGTTACCACGTCTTAGGTAAAAGATGAACTAGCACCGGCAGGTAAAGGCACATGCAGGGGAGACAGTGCTGTGCAGCTGCAGTGAGCAGTGTCCTGTACCAACTAGGCTAAGTGTCTGGTAAGGTAAGAGCATCAGTTTGATGTCTTTCATGTTCAGTTTCTTCAGTTGATTAGTAGACAAGATCATCTCCACCTAGGAGGTCCCCTTTTTATAGATGAAGAAGCTGACAATGGGAGTTTACACAGCTTGCCCCAAATCACAAATTTATCTTCTCCCTCTTCATGTGCAACTAGGCCAAGGGTGAAGAGATGACTTGGGGAAGATGTAGAGGAAAAGAAAGACATGCCATCTCTAAGTTGGCAAAGGACTTGAAACTAAAAGGATGTTGATAGTAACATTCGACTAACTCATCACAGGTGATAATCTTCTAGTTATTTATTCTGGAATTGCTGGTTTCCCTGCCTTCAAATATCTTCTTTAAAGTGGTGATTCCTAAATAGCTCTTCCCAGTATAGATCTGTCTCGTGAGTTTAATTATCTCTTATCCACTGTCCACCTAGATACTTTGCAGGTATCTCCACTCCAACATGTCCAAAAAGACTTATCTTACCCCAGTACTGATGTGTCCCTCCTATACTCGCTGTCTAGGTTAGTGCCACCACCATCTAGTCAAGAGAGGTAGGTAGCATAGGGAACTCATCCTGTACTCCATCCCACCCCACACCTCTTTCCTTACAATTTCTATCAATTCTATCTCCTGAACATCTTTCAGTTTGGTCTCCTCATCTCCATCTTTACCACCACCACATGACTTCTAGCCCAGTCTTTCCCATCCCATGTGATAAGTTTATCTAACTGGTTTCCTGGACTTATTATCTGCTCCCCCACCCTCTAACCAGAGGCCTCTTTCAAACTCAAACTTTATCCTATTCTCTTGCCTAAAATATTCCAGTATTGCTCCCTTAATACAGAATAAAACTCCAAGGAACAGCTTGTAAAGAGTTCTCAAAATTTGTCCCTTGCCTCCATGTCTAGCCTTCTCCCCTGCAGCTCTCCTTATGAACCATAGCAGACTCTCTGGAGGCTCCGC